TGTAAGGAATCCTGGTTCCTAGTTCAGCTCTATCTTCAGTTTATACCTGATGCTGGATGGGGTATGAGGGCCAAGGTCACCTCTAGGACTTTTTCAAATTCTCTACCCTTTATTCAGATATGTTTCTAGCAAGAGATCCATGCAGCTTTGAAATGCTGAGTGCCCTCACTGTAGCCAATAGGAGTTTGATATTAAAACCGAGTTTTTAAATAAATTCTAAGTAATGTGCAGCTTTGCTAAGAAGTACTGGTTTACAAATGACTGAAGAAGTTTCTGGCAGGTGCGAAGGTTCTGCTAGGAAACAAGGAAGGGAAATATTAACCAGTTTGCTGTCCCCTGACTGAAGAAGACTGCATTTTGACCTGTTTTATACTTTAGCTTCCTCTTAAGATTCCTCGAGTACAAAGGTGTCTAAGACCTAAACCACATTTGCTCAATCCCCAGAATTTGATTATATCTAATGTCTGCTTCAATTGAAAAGTTCTGAGGTTCATAACAAAGGGTGAGGGTCCTTTTGTTACTACTGAACAACATGTCTTAAGTTGTCAAAATAACATCAAGGGACAAAGTAAGGATGGAGTCTCTGTGGGCTGATAACATTCCTTTAAAAACTTTATGTCATCTTTCTTATAACTGATCTACTTAAAGAATCTTATTTAAGGAAAAAAAGTAGATATCAACCTGGTCTAAATTCCTGCCTCGGAAATATAAGTGAATGTATTTCCAGATGCTACAAATAATGGAAAATCATGAAAACTCAAATCAGGGTCCCTGTCCCTAAATGTGTTTCAGTTTGCATTTTGATAGCAGTTTAGAAATGCTATCGCTTGTTTTGTAACAGACATAATTCACATCTTTCTTCAGGCACTGTAAACAAGAGAAATGGTTTAATGGCCCCATAAAGGCACTCTGCTGATAGCTGAGATTAGGCTCTTCGTAATGGATGTTGGTGTGTGTATGTGTGAGTGGTGTGTGTACACAGAGGGGGTGGGGAGGCCTTGCAAGAGGCAGATGTACTGGGAAAGATTCTTCAAGAGGCTCAGATGCAGCTCAAGTGCCTCTGCTTTTTTTATATGTCTTGGAAGATGGATTTATAGAGCATGTGACACTATTGTCTTTATTTGTACACAAGCCTTCCCCTTTGTTTCTGGAATTTCACTGAGCACTAATTGAGGTCATTGGCATCCATTTATCACCTGAAATTGAAGTGATATTAACTTAAAGTGAAGTCTTTTCATCTACCGGGTGGGTGTATTCCTAACTACATATATTTGTATAAAAGGCTGCATGCATTTTTCATGCCATGCTTGTATCTGGTATTAAATAATCTAATTTATGTACACCATTTACTTTTTTCCCTTTTACAGAGTTTTTCTTGTTCTTTTTTTTTTAAATTGCTGCTGTAGCCAAGTAATTTTTTTTTGCAAGCACTTTGGTGTCCACAGCATGATTTGTTTTGACTTTTCAGTTATATTTTTTAGACAAGTGTTAAGAAATTCTCCATGTTATATGTCACCCTGATCTAAGTAAATGCTTTGAAATTTCTCATATCTCATAAATTTGTAGTGTTTTAGAGTTTCAATTTTGTGTTGTTTTTCATCAGCTAGATTACATATATCCATGTAAGTTGACACATAGGTTATACATTGGTTCTTTGTTAAACAGTTAATAGATTAAAATTAAGGGTTCTTTGTTGACTAGGTTAGCTGTACCCTCTCACTAGCTGGTGTCGCTATTCCAACCTTTTTGGTTTTCTTTCTTCTTTTTCCTTGTAGACCATATTGTGGAACAAGGGTCGGCAGACTGTTCTGTGTAAAGTGTCAGATGCTAAATATTTTAGGCTTTGTAATTCTTGTGGTTTCTGTCACGACTATCAACTCAGCCACTGTACCTTGAAAGTAGCCCTAGACTATATCTTAATGAATTGGTTGTGAGAATATTCGTCTAGAACTTCATTTATAAAAATAGGTGAAAGGCTGCAGATGGCCCCTAGGCTATGATTTGACAACTCCTGTTCTGAATACCATATAGTAGACTATTCTAAAACTATTTTTTGTCGTTGTAGAACTGGGGTTTGAACTCAGGGCCTTATGCCTCTTAGGCAGGCACTTTCTTACTTGAGCTATGTACTTTTCAGTTAGGGTCTTAAACTTTTTGCCAGGGCCATCCTGGGACCATGATCCTGATCTCTATGTGCCTCCCAAGTAGCTGGGATTACAGGTGAGAACCACCATGCCTGACCCTAAAACAGTATTTGTTTTAAATAGGCCAGAAATCTCAACAACAGGACAAGAGTCTGTACTCACAGCTCTATTCCTATCTAGCTTTCCTCATAAACTACAGATTTGATTCCAATGTGGTTCTATTTAGAGAAGAGTTAAAAATGTGATGTTTCTTTCCCTAGGGTAATTGTTTTATATTCACAGAAATTGCTATTCTATTTCACTGTTAAAAGTTAAGAAGCAAAAACAGTGAAAGGTCACAGCCAAGACCAATTATGATTATATTTACATTTGCTGTCCACATAGAGAAGAAGAACTTTATGTCACTATGTGACCGTTAGGTTATCAGGGTGTAGGAGAAGCTTTTGATTTTGGATAGCAACATTTTTCCTTCGGTGGACTAGTGTGAAAATTTAAATGTCTTTGGCCACAGTAATAAATGGAAAGAAGGCAGAATGCCTAAAAGCATGCACAAATGCTCTGAGAAGTATCTGTGTTTAGCTACAAGTGCCAAGAATATATTAGTAAGGTCATATATATAGATGTATATATCAAACACACACATGAATTAATCAAGCTTAAAGAACACAATGTTGGCTAATGTCTATTAGGAATTTTTTAAAAAGCCTAAATAAAGCTATTAGTTGAATCCTATGAGCTCTTGATGGTAAGGAGAGTGTCTTACGCTGTCTTCATTTCAGAGTTCCACATTCCTTCCCCCTCTTATCACCTAGCGTAGTATCTAGACATAGTAGATAAATTTGTTAATTACTAAAGGGACGAATAGATAAAGAAACATCTTATATAATGTCACAGTGGTGGGCATGCATGAGAGAAATTGTAAAAGTGTTTATAAATAAATGTAATTGTATTGCAGCCAAAATCTCAGAGCTCTAATTCTCAACCTATTATAATTTAGTCTTAGATCTTTAGTTAAATGTGATGCTCGGCTTCTTTATACTTGTGTTAGTCAGCTTTCCATTGCTATGACAAAATAGGTGCAAGATCAACTTAAAAGGAGGAAAGACTTATTTTGGCTTATGGTTTCAGAGGTTTCAGACTATGGCTGGTTAGCCCAGTTGCTTTAGGCCTTTGCTGCACAGCACATCATGGTGGAGAAGGCTGCTCACTTCATGGCAGCTGAAAGGCAAAAGAGAGAAAGGAAGGAGAGGATGCCAAGTATCAATATCCCCTTCAAGGACACAGCTTCAATGACTCAACTTTCTCCCACTAAGCTCCACCTCCTAGAGGTTCCACTACCTCCCACAGTGTCACAGTCTGGAGATCCAAGCCTCCAAAACATGGGCATTTGGGAGATGTTCAAGCTTCAGCCTGTAGCAATACCTATTTTAAAAGTCTGCAAAATGGGAGTGATACTAAATGTCTTTGACTCAAACGATGACAATGAGATATGTGACTATTCTTTGAAAACTATAAAATACTATGGAAATTTGGTTTTATTTTAAAGTATTATAGCTAGAGTTTCCTATTAGAACTCCAGACTCAACCACAGTTTCTAAATTGACATCTAAATTTAAACATATTATCTTTCTTGGATTTTTTTTTTGGGGAGGGCATTATTAGGGTTTGAACTCAGGTCTCTGCACTTGCTAGGCAGGTGCTTTTACATATTATTTTCTTAAATTTACAAGATGTCATCATCTTTACTATAGAAACATACACAGGAAACTTGATTCATATATTTTGTTTGTTTCTCAGAACTAACATTTACCAAGTAGTTATAAAAAACATTGATCTGTTTTCAATTTAAGGATACAAATATGCTCTACTTGTCAGATTGTCTAGGGAAAATTATTCTTCCTATAAGAAATTTAAATCATTTCTCTCCATCTATATTTCAGATGTTCAATTTGATTTTTTATATTATATCTCTGTTCAACTAAAGATGTATATGTATACTGGTATAGTTGCTTTTGGAATGCTAAGGGCATTTATATGGTCTTGTAGAATCATAATAAAAATTTGTGCCCAACAAAATGTAGGTAGAAGAAAAAGAAAATAAGGTTGGGGCATGGCTCAAGTGGTAGAGTACCTGTCTAGCAAGCAGGAGGCCCTGAGTTCAACCCCCAATACAGGAAGGAGGGAAGAAAGGAAGGAAGGAAGGAAAGAAACAAGATGATGTCTCATAGTGTCTCATAGTTCACAGTTCTAAAATGAAAACAATTACTAATTTAACAAACACTTAATGGTAAATACCATAACTTCAAATAAACCTTTGAATTAAGACATGGTTAAGCTTATTTTGGAAGTGCGTATTTTTAAGTCCTGGCATTTTGGAGCTCTTAACTTCAACCATTAGAAGAACTCAGCCATCATTAGTCAGCCTTAAGATGTGGTTTGAAAGGTCAAGCTTCCATCAAGGAAAAAAATGCAAGCCACATCTCTTGAGTGTTCTTTCTGCCTCTCCTCCCAAAGATTTGATTGTCTGGAGGAGTTGTGGCTCATAAAAGTTTGTAAGGAAAAATGCGTTTGAAGAATGCCTATGAAAGACTGTGACTTCAAAGACAACTTTCCAAAGTCAGGGATAAAGAGATAATAGCATTTAAAAACACCATGCCTTTGTAAATGAAATGAAGGAGTTAACGCACTTGATTTGATCCACTTGAAGAAGGAAAGATTCACTTTAATTAAAACTACAAACAATGCAGATTCCCAGACCCAGGAAGGACGGCACTGTAAGCAAAGTGAAATGTACCTAGCAGCCTCAGCAGCAGGCTGGAGCCGTGTTCAGTGAAAGTAATTTAATTAGTGTTGATCATGACTCCAGATGATGGTGATTTGATAAGGAATAATTTAGTACTTAACAGCCTTTTACATGCACCAACTCCATGTGGGAAGGTAAAGCAAATTGCAGAAAATGAATGTGCTGCTTTTTCTTGCGCCCGTGCCAATGAGCTGGAAAGCCGCCTGTTAGCAGGCTCGCTCAGCCTCGTGATGAAATACCCAACGTGCTTCCCACCCAGCCCTCTCTGGTGGGAGTCGCTCTACTACCCTCATGGAAGGCTGAATGAAGACAGGTCACTTTTGTGACAGAGCGTCTCCAGGGAGCAGGAAAGTTAAGATGAGGAAAATAAAGTAGTTGGAGGTTCTGGTCAGAAAGTCAAAAGTCCTCAGCTTGTCTTTCCCTTTTTTCTTCACATGCAGCAATTAAAAAAACAACAATCCTCCCCAACTCAGAGTCTTCTGATTACTTATTTGGTTCATGATTAGAAAAACCAGAATCAGTTCTTGGGTACCAAAATGATTAAAAGTCCTCCCTGCACCACACAAACACATCGAACGTTCTAGGAACAGAGTAAAAGCACTCAACTGCTGGAGTTGGAGAGTTAGAGAACCTCTTGGCATCCGTTTTATATAAGAAAAAAAGACGCTATTAGGTTTTTTTTTTTTTTAAAGTCTTTTCAAGTGCTGGGCCTGTGTGAATGCAGTGTACCCTTGATCCAGGTGTTGCCAGGTATCACAGTGGATTCAAAATTTGTCCAATTATAAGAATCACCTAGGAATTCTGGTAACATCCAAAACCAGAATTTCTGGGAGTGGTATGTTTGTTTGCTAGGGCAGCCATAACAAACTTCCACTCACTTGGTAGCTTAAAAAAGCATAAACAGATTGTTTCAAAGTTCTGGAGACTAGACATTGCAGATGACACCATCGCTGCTGGTGTCAGCAGCCTCTGAGGGTTGGGAGAGAGAATTTGCACCATGTCTGTCCTCCAGTTTCTGGTGTATGTCTTATTTTATTTGGTTTTTGTGGTGCTAGGGTTTGAACGTAGGGCCTCACACTTGCTAGGCAGTAGCTTCTGGTGTCTGGGAAGTTTTCAGCATTCCTTGACTGACAGGATCATTGGTTTGATCTCTCTTAGTGTTCTCCCTGTGTTTGAGTCTTTGGAACCAAATTTCCCCCTTTCAGAAGGACACCATACAACTGTGTGGGATTAGAGCCCATTTTAGTGACCCCATCTTAACTAGTCTTCCAAATAAAGTCATGTACTAGCCACAGAAGGGAATCCTTTCACTCCCAATTAGTTTGATTTGTTTGTAAAATTTGTTTTCTATGTATTCTTCTTTTTTGATTCTTTTACATAACTTCATGTCTGTGAGGCACTGGTAAGTAATTTGTCCCTTGTTACTTCTGTATTATACTCATTCTTTGTATGAAGATCAACAGGGAATAGTTGGGTTTTGTCAGACTTCCTGCCCTGAATAAAGCTTCTCCACACTTTCTTTCACGTCTTCTGGCGAGTGTTGCAGTCCTTTCTCTTGGAAAAGTACCTGATGGTGTAATTACTGGATCACAGGGTAGATTTATGTTGAGCCTTAGGTACTGCCAGAAACCTTTCCAAAATGGTCACACAAATGCATTCTCCCAGCAGCTTTTCTTGTTGTTTTACAACAGGAACATCAGGTCTGCCATTCTAGGGTGTAGTGATAAGCTTATGTGGTTGATTTGCAATTTTCAGATGAGTAAAGATTTTTGAATACCTTTTCATTTGTTGTTTGTTATTTTTCTGTTTTGCCAGTGGATGTTTTCTTTTACAAAGTGCATGTTCAATTCTTTGAACATATTAGTTGGTGATTTGTCTTATATTATTGATTTGTAACAATTCTTATGTTAAATGAGAATTGGATGTCAGATGGTTCCATTGCAAACATCTTGAAGCTTGTGGCTTCGCATTCTTCTAATGATGTCTTTTGATAAAGAGAGGTGTTTAATTTCAGTGAAACCAGATTTGTTGTTTTTTAAATTTTATGTTCAATATTTTTTTGGATCCTATTCACTAGTCTTGTCATACCTCATGGTCACAAAGACCTTACAAATATGGTACCATTAGGACGGGCATGGCAGTACATTTCTGTAATCCCAGATATTCAGAAGGTGGAGATGGAGAATCACAGTTGGAGGCCAGGAGGAGGGGATGGGGGAAGTTAGTTAGATCCCATATCAACAATCAAGCCAGGCATGATGGTTCACATTTGTACTCTCAGCTATGTGGGAGTCATAAGTAGGAGGACAATTGTCCAAGGCCAGCTGGAGGCATGGCTCAAGTGGTAGAGTGCCTGCCTAGCAGGTGTGAGACCCTCAGTTCAAACCCCGATACTGCCAATAAATAAGTAAATAAAAAATTAAGCAAAATGAAATATAATATTACACATAAAAGTCTTGGCTATCCTTGCCATTTTGCTAAGTGTAATAAGCTTTGTATTACACTATAGGTTTATTAGATCCTTAGGTCTCGTAAGTTTTTATTCACATAAATTATATCTGGTTCTCAGTTATAATATGATTTGTTATATCTTTTGAGTACAAATTGGGTTCCTCTTATGTTGCTATTATTTTTCCTTGGGAAAATGTAGATCTCAATTCTTAATCCAAAGCACTAAAGCTTGAGTGTATACATTTTGGTGTATATGTTCAAAGAAGTAATTAGTTATGGTTAATTTATTGCAAATGTTGTACCATACAATATTTGTTATTCTAAGAATCAGTTCACCAACAGACTCACAGGCATCACATTGCACAGGAGAGAATTTTCTTATAGAATTATATGAATGCTTTCTAGGTTTTTTTAATATATTGAAAACATTTATCATGAAAATTTAGAACTCAAAGAAATGTAAAGGGAAGGTAAAACCTTATCCAGCTTTTGACCCATACTAGTGAAAATTCAGATATCACAGTATTTTATGTGTTAAGACTTAATGAAGCTCTAACATTAAACTTTTTTATACAACTACTATGCCACTATCTCATCCAACAAAATATTTATCCAATTATTTAATACCCAGTTTATATTAAAATGTCTTAGATTTACTACCTTAATAAATTATAACTTTTTTTTTTCCTTTTTTGATGCTGGGGTTGAATCCAGGGCCTTGACATGTTTCATTTTACCACTGAACTATGCCTCCAGCCCATAAATTATAACTTTCTTTTATTTTTAGAGGCTTTGTTTATTTCAGACATTCCTTTCTTTTTTCCTTTGCTTTTTGGTGGCACTGGTGTTCGAACTCAGGGCCTCATGCTTGCTAGGCAGGCACGCTTACCACTGGAGCCACATTACCAGCCCCCATAAATTATAACTTCTGATTTGGTAAAATTAGTGCATATGAGCACCCTTGACATAGGGAGATGTGTAAGATTTCTTTTCTTTTTCTATTTTCTCTCTACCTTGAATAATCACATTTAGCATGTGTGTACACACACCTATGCATACACTGGAAATACTTGAAACAACACTCAGTGTAATTATTAAATTTTCCTAAGACAACTAAAGGAAAATTTGCTTACTTAGCAATTTGTTTTCTAAAGTATTCCTTATAACTCAAGTATGATTGAACATTTCCATCAAAATTTTGTGCACATAGAAATACACAGTGTATATCTTCCTGAAACTTGATAATTCTTTCTTTCTTTTTTTTTCTCTGTTGTAGTGCTGAATGGGGGTACATTGTGGCATTTACAAAGATTCTTACAATGTATCAAATATATTATACTTTATACTTGGATTTACCCCCTCTACCACTCTCCATAGTTCTTGATATCCAATTCTTATATTAAAATTTTGTACGGCATCGAAGCTAATACACATTTATAATTCTGTACTGGCATAACTAAGGTTGAATGGCAGCATAAACCATGTTTCTCTTGTTAGGTCTTCCTTTATAAAAAGCACACTTAATATTTTGCATTTTAATTCCATTTTCTACAGGTGTTACAATAAGTCCCTAAAATTTGTGTTCTTTCAGTGTTTATCTCTTGATTAGCCATACTTGCAGATATTGAACTTTATAAAATAAAACATTTTTTTGTGTGTGCAATACCGGGAATTGAACCTAGAGATGCCTTCTTGCCAAGCACATGCTCTGCCATTTGAGATATGCCCAGCCTTTTATGGTTTTACTTTGTTTTTGAGATATAGTTTTAATAAATGTGCTGGAACTGGCAACCCTCAAGACTTCACCTCCTGAGTAGGAATGATTACAGACAGGTGCCAACCATGCCAAGCCATAAAATTCATTCTCATGTAACTTTTCCTTTTTTAAAAAACTAGTTCCCCATTTATGCTAAAATGTTGATTATTCTGTTAGACTATTATATAGTTTTCAGTTTTATATAGAAGGACAAAAATGGATAGGGTGATAATTATCTGTTGGTTTTAAAGCAATAAAGTACACTTTTATGTAAAAATATACATCTCAAATTATATAACCCCTAAATTATATTTAGCATAAGTGAATGCACATACATTAACCATGCATTAAGCATAAATACATTAAGTCACATGTAAAAGAAAAATCAAGATAAAGAATATTTATCATGAATTGCATGTGACAGATAACTTTCATGTTTTCCTTATTTCATTTTCATAATTCTGGTAAGTAATTAGATAGACAGGTATTTTAATCCCTATTTTATAAATAACCATTGGCCTTAAAGATGTTGTATTTTTTTCCCAAAGTATCCTGAGTTTCCTCTGGACTGACGCCTGGATTTTCTTTGTCATAGACCAGTTGACATTCCATTAAACCATTATTATTGATGTGTTTGAGATATTTTCCTTTCAGTAATGCTTTTATATTCCAGATATCAGGTGATACTTGGCCAATCAGTTGTAATTTTTTTCTGCTTTAGTCATTAGGAATCTTTTTGAAATGTTTTCAAAACTTGCTTTCTGAAAACTGAGCTGCTAGCACTGTTAGTATCAGCTAAGCAAATTACTAGTGATTTGATTTACTTAAAGAGAGGAAATTCAGGCATGTATTTTGTTACACAAAAGCAGAAAAGTACTATACAGAGATCCTTCAGAACCTTTTCTGCCACTGAAATTCATCAAATATTTTTCTTACATATGTAAGTTAATATGAAGTGTCTATGATATTTTAAACAAGAGAAGTAAAACAGATTAACATACTTAATTCCTAACTGCACTTAATTTCTGTGGGTATTTTTGTGTTGTCTTGTTTTTTTAGTGGCTTTTCATGGCCTACCACTGAAAATCAAGAAAGAACCTCACAGTCCATGTTCAGAACTCAGCTCTGCGTGCAGCCAAGAGCAGCCCTTTAAATTCAGCTATGGAGAAAAGTGCCTGTACAATGTCAGGTAAAGCAGCCAAGTGTGTGCATACAAGGTGGAGGTGCTTATTGAAACAAAAAGTTCACAGAAATATAAAACCTGAAGTCAACGTTGTGAGTTACATCTTCATTTATATAACAGGCTAATTAGGTAACACATTTAGCAGAACTCTTAAAGAACCATTTACTCCACAATCACACACTGTTAAGATTATTTTAAAGCAATAGTATTCATCCCAATCATTAGTTGCTTTTCTACTGTAGTCATGCATCTTGGGTTTGAAAAAAGGGTCTTATTTGGCACAAGGTCTTATTTGAAGGTTCCCATTAGAATGAGTGCATTATGCACTTTAGATAGTTTGTAGAAAAAAAATGAAACATTTGGCAAGTCTAAGCAGTACATTAGTTATCTGACAGGCTTTGTAGATGATCTATAAGATGTGCTTATGGACAATTGCAATAAAACTAGAACTTTATAAGGCTTAGCAGAGGCTATTATCTATTAAAAAGCCAGTTGGGTACTTCTGATGACAATAAAGGAGGGTGCGGTAAAAGTACATTGTTCATTTGTTAGAAAATTTGATAACATATATGTTCATTAAAAATCCTTCATGCTAAATTGCAGGCTTTTTCTTTTCATATTGGCCTCTAATTGCATAAAGAAAAAGCTGGCTCTGTATATTGAATATTACTCTCAATTACAGTGGAAACTTAATTCTTAAAAGGAATTGGTTTGGAAACTTATAAAAATGATTCCAAAATATTTCTACTGTTTTATAGGTTATGTCAGTTCAGGCTTATAATGCATTATGATCCAAAGGGTTCTCTGCTTCTTCATATGTTTGTTATATATCCTTTTTCTACCCCAAATATATAAGATTCATGACACTTAGATTTTCTTACCATCTCATGGCAACTGACCAATGCTTTGGTATTTTATTACTGTTTGTTCTTATAAACTTTTCTTTCATATCTGCTATTCTAAGAGGTTTACCAGAGCCTGAAGTGATGAACCAGCTCAGTTGAAACTACAAAGCTTTTATAAAAAAGATCACTATAGGAGCTAACTATTAAAGCAAATTGAGTTCAGATAAGACAATATTGATCAACCTGTGTTTTATGGTTTAGTTTTAGCTTTTACATTTTCTCCATAAGGTGCTGTGTATCCACAATATAGTTTTTTAACATATTGAAAAATTTCCAATCAATGAACCAGTTAAGTGTAGAATTTTCATTGCAGGTCAGCACTGATCAGAACTGTGACTATGAAATCACTAGTATTTTATATGATATATCTTACATTCATAAATTAACAGTAAAGGAACAGCCTGAATATTTGAAGGCTTTTGGGGGGACCAGTAATTCTCATTGATATATGGCAAAGGCAATACATTTTGGTACTTCTATTTCTCTACAAACAATATAATTTGATACACATTTCATGGGGGAGAAATAATATCCTAAAGGATAGAAAAATAAGTCTTTCATGGAAGTGAGTCAAATAAGCCACATATAAAAAGAAGAGATTTTCATTCAGAAATACTAGTGAAGAACTTAGGTAGAATCAAACACAAAATTCTTTGTACAAGGACAATTGACTTATTTTAAGGCTAGAGGAGGTGTAGGTATTACATATTCCTTGACTTCCATATTTTTGCATTTGTATATAATTCTATTGTATTGATGGCATAATAATTATTAAATATGTCAATTAAAAAAGAAACATTTCTCTTTAGAGAAAAATGTGCATTGACATTTTTTATTTTAAAAAGAAATATAGGGCTGGCAAAAAAAAGCTCAAGAGGTAGAGCAACTCTCTAGCAAGTGTGAAGCCTTGAGTTCAATTCCCAGTATTGGCAAAAAATAAGAAAACAAACAAATAAAAGGAAATATAATGATTTAACCTGGAAATATAGTTTTTGTTCAGAAACTTAAGTAAAATCTGTTTTTAGTAGAACATTTTAGAGATTGCAGAATTTAGTTACATCATATTCCCAAAGTCACACATAGGAAGGCGATTTAAGTTCATAATATAAAATCAAGCTTACTCATTTTATTCTTTTGTAATTGTGAGTGGATAATAGGATTTTATTCTTAATAACATTATTTTATACTCATTCTTCTACTCCAAGAAAGCTTAAATATATCAGAGACATTTTAATTTGCCTCATTAATCTTTATTATCCCATATGAGGAAGTTAATGCTATGCACACTGATTTAATATAAAAACATGTAAAAAGATGAAAGCATTGCCTTAAAATTCCACCACAAATAAAGGCAAACCAAATATAGTCTCCATCTCATTAAGCTGATATTAGTTGTTTAAAATGTAATATAGGTGAAGAGTCATAAAACCAGCACTAATTAATGATAGGAAAGATCAATCAGACTTACAGGGCTGCATCAAGAGTAGATGGAAATAGTACCACTGCTTCATTGACAGTGGTTTTTTTCCTTATATATACAAAAATATACATTTTATATGTATTACATCGTAATAAGATCTTGTATTGTCTTATTTACTGTTTAAGGGTATAGTGACTTTTAAGTTTACATGTTCTGGGGTTAAAACACAAAACCCATAAAATGTTAGATTCTTTATCAGTTAAGTCTAAAGTATTTTTTCCCTAGCATTGGGCTTTGTTTTTTTTTTTTTATTGCTCCAAAGCAGTAAATGTTCTCTTTTCCTTGTTCCCTGGGCAGTGCCTACGATCAGAAGCCACAGGTGGGAATGAGGCCCTCCAACCCCCCGACTCCATCCAGCACTCCTGTGTCCCCACTACACCATGCATCTCCAAACTCAGCCCACACCCCGAAACCTGATCGGGCCTTCCCAGCTCATCTCCCTCCACCGCAGTCCATACCAGACAGCACCTACCCCATGGACCACAGGTAAACTGCAGATACCATTTGTTTTTGAAAGTGTGTTTACCATTCTTGGAGGAAATTCCTATTACCAATTCTGAAGACTTACAGTAATTTTAAGGTGTGCATGTTAATTTTGCACATCTGTGCAAAATACTTTTAGAAAGAGCTTGCTCTAATCTATACTCATAAATTATTTGTGGAGAAGGTCATTTATAAACATTCCTTTTATAAACATTTAAATTGGTTGCTGAAATGGAAAATTAATCTATATACTGACATTTGAACATTTTCCTTTTGCTTTGCTTGAATTAAATTGCTTCACTTAAACTTTAAATCAGATCATCCCATTTCTATGAGCATATGTCTGTACTTACTCTATAAAGTTAGGAAGCTAATTTTAGTAGGTGGCTTATGGAATTAGGTTCTCTACCTTAGATTGGATGGTTTAGCTATACATAGTTGTGCAGAGTATAACTTATTTGATTAAAAGTATTTGCCATTCTTTGCAAGTGATGAATATTTAATGTTAGCAGACCCCACTGGACACTGAGAATATATATTTAAGAGACAGAGACTGAATTTTGATACTTAAAAAGGAGCAAGGCAAGAAAGGGAGCATGGAACTAGTGAGAATGCTGTAATGGGAAATGCTTTACTCCTCTTTTGGTGTCACTGGGGTTTGAATTTGGGGCCTTACACTTGCTAGACAGGCACTCAATTACTTGAGCAGCTCCACCAGCCTAGAAAGCCATGTTTAAGTAAAATATTGGAAGACTTTTAGAGGTCCTGAGATATTGTCTTAATACATGACTTAAAATACATATTGATTATGTACAGCAAATCTCCTTTTCCCTTTTATCTCACATTTGTGTGTAACTACTGATTCTTGGGGTAAGTGTTTAGTAATAGATTCCAAGGGAGAAAAGCATAAAGGTCTTATCTGTGGCATTCCCTGAGTCCATGATGTGACACTGATCCATGGCTGACTATGAACTGTCTTGATGACAATCCTGAGTGCTAGTTGGGAAGACACAGTATTTTAATCCTACAGACATAGCAGATATAATGTAAGAACATAACCAGTATTAAAATGTAGTAAAGTAGTTAAGAAGTGATGAGTTTTGAGTTTCTCTTGCCTTCTTTTTTTGTATTTTTTAATTGTGAAGTTATATAATGCAATTCTTAATAAAGACTGCATTTGACAATTGACCCCCAAATTCCTGAACACTTATTCATAAGCCAGAGCCATGACTATCTCTGACACACAATTATAAAAATAACTCAGCCAAAGGAATCCTGCAAATCAGCAGAGGAAAACAAAAGATGCACCACAGGCAACTTTCTGAATATGAGGAAGCACTCAAATCTGCTCTTTATAGGTTATTTAATGGACTCAGTCTCAAATTCAGTAACTCTTTTTGGTATAAAGGAGTAAGATGAAAGCATGTTTTCCAATGTGAAACAGAGCTGCATCTTCTCCACCCTTGCTTCCATTGCTGAGTCCTCTCATGTTTTAGTTATTAAATGCTTCCTATTATTTTTTCCCTTCTCACCCGGTAGACTTGAGACTTTGTCAGAGCAAAATGGCAAGTGCATCTGTATAAACAGTTTTGTAAATACAGATGAAAGGATGCTTACTACAGGGTGGGCCATTAAACAGATGCGCATTGTGCAGGGCTAAAAGGAAGAAAAATATGAACATAAAAAGCAAGTTTGATTTTGTCCACTTCTGATGATTTCCCACAATTCTTTCTAAATGAGCCCCTCGCACTTCAAGTGAGTGACAGAGTTATAGGCTATATAGTTTTTCTTTTGTGTAGACTAGCTAATTCTTAGGGAAGGTGACTGCTGAGTAAGCACTCTGCCTGTTTTTAGATGACCTAACTGGAAATGCTTTAGCCAAATCCATTTTAGTTTCTCAACTTGAAGTCAAATATTTGAGACTGAGAACAGCCGGCCCGGAACTACAAGAGGTAAGCTCAGGGTCTTTTCCCACTGCCCCCAACTGCGCCTTGAGGACATACCAGCTGGCCAATCCCAGAAAAATCTCTGAAGCCTTATGTTTCTGCTGAGGATTTCTTAGAGGGCTCTGGCCAACAAATGACAGTCCCTTGGTTATAAATGGCAGATTTGCTCTGGGAACAGAGCCTTTCCCCAGATAGCCCCCTCCTACCCAGGCACCCCACCTCACTCTGGGAAGACTTTGTGGCCAACTGGCCCCCACTCTGCTTCCCTTCCTCGGCCTCACTGCACTCCTTGGGCCAGCCCTTTGGCACGTTTTCCTGAGCCCACTGTGGAAGAACCCCGTCTCTTTTTCTCAGTGCTCCCTCACACTTACATCCTGCATTTTGTTTGCCCAGGAGTTCATCAGCATGCTCTCCTTACCCATTAATCTTCCAGAAGCTTCTTCAGTCACTTTCTCTTTACCACCGGTCAGTGGCTTTCATAAGAATGGCACCCAAACCATTCGGTCTCCCATGAAGCATGTGTGTTTGATGTGCACATGGTCTCCAGCAAGAAACAACTGGAATCGGGTCGAATTGTGAAAACAAGTGGCTTGATTCCTTACAAAGCTTTCAGAACAAGCATTACTAACTTCCTTTTAAGGCCTCACAAGTGAGCTGGTTTCTTATTTTATCTTCAACTTTCAATTTTCTGATTCACTCCTTGACAGTTCCTAATGATAATTTCTGCTTCTCTTTTTTGGCTAATGAAATAGGCAAGAGGAGGGAAATTGAATGCAGTGCCAGCCAGCCTAACTTCTTCGCAGTACCCGAGTTTCTAAGTTTATTTTCTGCAGTTGGAGGTGGAATTTCAGTACTTTCCATGGCAGCCTGTGAGCCTAGAGTTAAATCGCAGGATGGAGTGTTCTTAGAAATGCTAAAACAATTGTTTTGCTATTCTTTAGCTTCTACATTTTTATCATTTAACATCAACAGAATTAAACGCTAACTTTCTAAATTAAAGTTTCAGGAATGCTTTGAGTGGGGGGGTAATAGGCTAATATTTTCTCATAGATATATTTTATAGGTTATTTTTAAGCACTCCTGGGGCATTTTTAGAGCACTTTTAAATCTTTAATTAATCCACATCTTTGTGGTGGGTCAGTGATGTTACGGATGAGGAATCCAGAAGAGAACCTTATGTGATTAGCCAGTCGTTACACAGTATAACCAAGAATGAAGAACCATGGGACGCACTTTCAGCCTTCTGCTAAGTCCTCAGAACTTCTCTACGACTTCACAGCCTCAGTTGCCCTGGATCTATGCAACAAATATTTTCTTCATCTTTAATGGGCCAATGCATATTTATGCTTATTTTTGTCAAAATGTTGGAAGCCAGTATGTTCTGTGCTGCTGTTTAACAGGAAAGAGATGGTTAATGAAAAAAAAAAAAAAAAAGACTAGCAGCTTGGATTGAAGTACCCATAATACTGAGTTCCATTTCTTATTAGAACACAAGGTTAATTGAAACATTGTTAAAGAATTAAAAGTCTTCTGATTTGAGAAAAGAGTCATTGCTGTCTTACTTCCTTCTTAACTTATAGCCAAGGAAAGAAAACCAATACAATTAAATTTTGGTTGTTTTGGTTTGTTTGCTGATTAGTTTGGTAACAAGATTAATAGAGATGCGCTTTGAGATCAGACTATTTTTCCTGCTCTTTCTTGTTATATAATTATTTGAGAATCTTTTCTTGTGGAAGTTATATAAATAATCCAATTGGCTTAAATAGTGTACATTAGCTGTTAGGACCCATATTTACACAAAATATTTCATTGGTTTCTTATCTCTGCTCACAGTATACCTTTAATTTACATAATGTACCAAAATGATTGGAAGGGATGGATAAGAAGGAGAACACAAGTGATCATATGATTAAAAATCATATTGCTACTGACCTAAGAAAAAAAATGTAGTGCTCATTAAATATTTTCATTTTGGTTAATTTGCTATTATTTTTATTCACTGGCAGTTAAGAATTAAACCAGTATTTTAGAGCATATTCTGAGTCACCATTTATCTGAAACATACTCTCTTATTCCCAGATTTCGTCGCCAGCTTTCTGAACCCTGTAATTCCTTTCCTCCTTTGCCAACAATGCCAAGGGAAGGACGTCCTATGTACCAACGCCAGATGTCTGAGCCAAACATCCCCTTCCCACCACAAGGCTTTAAGCAAGAGTACCACGACCCAGTATATGAACATAACACCATGGTTGGCAGTGCGGCCAGCCAAAGCTTCCCCCCTCCTCTGATGATTAAACAAGAACCCAGAGATTTTGCATATGACTCAGGTAAGCCTGTGCATCTGTGGAATTTCACATACCTCCTTTGTCAATTTATTAGTGCTGTTGTCAGATGGTGTGTTTTTTGGCTATTTTTTAAGTGGGATCTTGCTGATTTTATCCCTTATATGAAACTTTCTCTATAAATGAAGGATTGCAATATGGAACGATTTTGGCATGAGTTGGTGATCAAATAGTGTCTGGACATGAAGCCAGTTCAAAGAAAGTGCAATTTATCCAATTGCGCATATACTCAGCCCAAAAGAATAGCATTGTATTTTTTCTTGATTCTATGCTTTCTTTCTTTCTCTTTCTCTTTCCTTCCTTCCCTCACTCCCTCCCTCCTTCCCTGCCTCTCTCCCTCCTTCCCTCCCCCTCTCTCTCTTTCTTTCTTTCTTTTTCTTTTCTTCCTTTCTCCCTCTCTTCCTCCCTTCCTTCCTTCTTCTCTTCTTTTTTTGCTGCTGCAGTACTATTTAAAAACTTACATTTTTACTATTTAAAGTAAAAAATTACTTTATACTTTTTATAAAGTAATACTCTTCTATATTGACCATTTTTTGTTTATATCTTAAAAAATATTTTTTTCAAAGATTTCAAGGGTCCATAGGTAAGGACAGGCATAGGAAGATGTGGATTTATGTTTCATTCATGGAGCTAAGCTTTGTCTCAGTGAATTAGAAAGACTACAAAGTGTAGTCTGTCAAAGGGAGGAGACCTTCCTGAAAGTAAGGAAGGCTTAAAATCTATTCCAAATGGTATCACCAGATTTGCCAACATTTAATTTTGAGACTTTAGAAGAATTACTTAATTTGTCTCTTGAGTTTTCCTGCTATAAACTGGGAAATCGGAACATAGGCTTTTTACACATCTCAGGTACTTTAGTTCATACAACTGTATGAACTAAAAGATTATGTGTAGGGGTATCATACACTTATAAAATTTTATTTTTAACATTTTTAACCATGTCAATAGATGGTTATAGAAGTGGAAATGCTTGAGAACTATGTGATTTCCTTTTGTCTGGGTATAGAAGTATGAACACTCTTTGTGAAGGAACTGTTGCTCCCTAGAAATAACTGTTGAGTTTTTATATTAGTTCTGCTCAAGGAAAATTAAAAAGAAGCGTGTTTTCAGGTCTTGAGTTTCCAACTTGCATAAAACTATCTGTTTTATTATGAACTGCCCTCTAAGCTTGTCAAGAGGAGCCCTATGACGGAGAAAGTCTCCATCTGGCCTTCCTTTGCTTGCACCCTTCCTTGCCAGGCAAAGAGTTCAAAGGATTAGGGAACTGGCCACTCTGAGGCATGCTTCATCTTCTAGAAAACCACCAGCTCCCACGACTCATGAATTTCCTGCCCAGCTGGCTCTGAGTCCATCCACTTCTGTGGCCTGAAAGGCTTGTCCCAGGCCTTGTTTTCTGAGGGCAAAGCACACTGCTCCTGTGTATCACCAAGCAGAGCTAAGGGGATGAAGCCAGGGCTTGAAGGTGCACCCAAGACCCCCTCAGTGTGATGCAGTGTTGGATTGGGTTGACGAGGACAATCAGAGAGATGGGTGGGCCAGGATTTGAAGACTATATACTGGCTCAATCCTATTCCAGGGCTAATCTTAAGAGATTTCCTTAAATGTTGAATTTGGGACTTCTGAGTTATGGTATATTTTTAAAGACAGAGAAGAGAAAGTATATTTATCATTTTTTCACTGATTTATGATTTAAAAAATGTAAACCTCTGATATGAGGTCCTTATTTGAATTCTTGCCCCAGGGTCTGTCATTTGAGACTATCTTGAAATGTCTCATAGTGGTTTCAGTTTAGAACTTTTTATATGTGTTCATTGATATCCATAATTAAGAATCCTGCAAATCAAGACTTTATTATAGAAAGGATACATTTCCCTCTGTATATTTCAAATCCTATTGACTGATATCCTTATTTCGCAAACCATATTTTAATTTGTGTAGTGTTTTTGAATTCATTAATTTCAAAAACCTATTGGAAATCATATAACTTAGCCCAAATAATCATTCAAAGGAACTCGTATAGAATTTTAAGCTTCTTTGTGTGTTCTGGAAATGTTTTTATATGTACAATACTGAAAAGACTAATGTTAGAACTTTTCCGGATTCTGGGATTTTCTGTACATGTATCTTCTGATGTCTATGTTGCATACAGTGATGTATAGTGTGGTATTGAACCATATTACTTTTCTTGAGGATATGTGAACCATCAGGAAAGAGGTTAACGATTCTAATGAGGGCAGTAATAATGATGGGCTAATGAGGACTGGTTCTCTAAAAGTTAATTGCATTATTTGTGGGCCATACATGCTTCAGATGCTAGAGTTAGGCACTGTGTGACCCTCAAAAAAAAAGCTTTTCTCACTTATAAGCCTCGAGTATGGGCCAGCATCCTATTTTAGGTGTGCAGGACATCTCTTCTAAGTGTGTCATGTGTTTTTCAACTGCTTTGTAAAATTCTATTTAATGTTTGAGGAGTTATTAACTTTTTGGTACTTTCTTCCCTCTAATTATATTTTAAATTCCAAAAGTTGTACAATACCTTTGAATTCTAATTTCAGTATTTCCAACAGGAATTTTTGTTTTGAGTAATTAAATGGTAAACATGGCGCTTTTGGATATGATTTGAAAGAAATAGAGTAATCATTTAACCAGGGCCTATGAAAAATTAATCTGTGGATATCAAAGTGTATTTTGTTGGCCAGCAGATTGCTGCTATGAAATTGACACCCGTATGTCAGATATGCAATCAACAATATGATCTCTAGATATTTGGTTTGCTGTCATTAGATTTTTCGTCCTTACTAAGAGTACATTAAATAACCTCTCAGGAAATCTAATATATTTATCGTGGAATACCTGATTTCTTTCTTTACCTATTGGTGTTGAACAAACAGCACATTAGGAGCTATTTTCCATGTGATTTAAAGACAATACCAAAAATATTTTCTAAGTCAGTTAATCCAGCATCTATAATGCAAAAGCTATCCTTCCAGAAGGCCTCGAGGACTCTTTATTGCTTAATTCAATATACCATAAATGTTGTGACAATAAAAGATGCTTTGTAAGGGAGAAGGCAGCATGATTGTGCTCTAATAAAGCCTGACATTAATTATGACATGGGAAATGGAAGGTTTATTAGTATAATTATAATTACAGGAGTGCAATTTCAACTGCCGAATATTTAAGATAAAAAATTCAAAATATTATGTTAATAGAATAGAAAGTCTTATTTGGGGGATGAGAAAAAAAAAGAAAACTTGGATGAGAAGGTAGAGAGAAGAGAAGAAATATATATTTAAGAAGCCAAGTTGGTGAACCAATGCAGTGTGGTGATGATATTGTGGTTTATATTGCAAAGTCCAGCACAGCATGGCACTGTCATTGCTTCTCCTTTGTAGCCTACTCCGGCTCCGTAACACAGTACCTGGACTTTTTTGTTTGTTGGTTGGCTTTCCCAAATCCAACATGCTTTTTTATTTTTTGGCTTATGGCCAAGTGACCACATAAAAAGAGTTAAATAAGTGTTGAGTGCTTCATTTGGAGAGCTTTATCCAGAGCTCCTAATGCAGGACCCGGTTTTGTATAGACTCATGGCTGTTTGTCCATGTTTGTGTCTAGGTGTGTGTTTTGTCTTTTGAAATGCCAGTGTGGCAGATATCTTTGATATTTATAACACTGTACTTTATTAGATTGTATGTGTTTGTTGGTATTGTGCTTTATTTTGTTTCATTTTATTTTTTGGTAGTTTAGGATAGTTATTTCAGGGGACCTTAAGAAAACATCTATACAGATAATGTTCTTATACTTCGATCAGGTAATGTTACTGTCAGAAATTCATCTTGAAAACCAGTGAGAGATGCCCAGGGAATGTTTCACACACACACACACACACACACACACACACACACAGATAGATGTTCTAAGTCTAGAACAGACTAATGGTAAAATAAGTTATGGCTACCAGCAAAAGAAATACTATGCAGACATTGGAAGTCAGCTTCTAAAAAACATTTAATGACATAATGAGACCGAGTTAAAGAAAAAGTAAGGTGGGACTCATGCAAAATAAGACCCAAAACAGAAATAGTGGGTTATAGGTGGCTTCTGTTTTGCCTATGAGGTGCTTTCTGTTTTACCACTTTCTACTCAGAATAAGTATTGTTTAAGACAAATCAACCCATTTAGAGTGGAAAAAGAAGAATGCCCAAAATAATCACATCATTTCTATATAAGTGAAGAAAAATGCTAAGTAAAAGGATGACACTATAGCCTCATTCATTAAAAGCCTAAATGTTAGTCTGTGCTGAGGGCTGCTTTGGAGGCGAGAAGAAAGATCATTGTGTTCACGTTCATTCATCTGGCCACAGAACTTGTGATCTTTCCATTAGTGCTGTGTTCTGTCACACTTTTGGGGTACATCAAAAATCTTAACTTAAGCCGGGCATGGTGGTACATACTTGTAATCCCAGGATTTGGGAGGCTGAAGCAAGAGGGCCAATAATTTGAGGTCAGCCTGGGATACAGAGCAAGACCATCTCAAAAAACAAAGCAAGGCAAAACACAACATAGCACATACGACGAAAAAAGAAAAAGAAAAAAAAACTTAACCTAAGAATTGCTTCTGGGGGATAGTAACATTAATACGTTGTTTTTAGCTTTTGAAGTCTTGTCTGTTATTCTAATCAGTTTAAAAGATGCTTCCCAGCCATGTGGTGGAACAGTTTAATGAAAGAATTGGGATTCAAGAGGGGGAAAGAAAAACTTTCAGGAGCAAGAGGGAGGTGGCTGAGATAAGAACAGAGGGAGAGCGCAGCACTCTGGGGAGGAGGAAGTAGAGAAGAGGAAGTGGAGTCAGACAGGTAGAGCCTGAAAGGTGTTTGTTTCATGAAGAGAATGTTTTGGGAGTTTTTTTGTTTGGTTTAGTTTGGGTTTTTTTTTGCATTTTTAAATTTAGGTCCATGCTCCTCCTGCTACTGCTATGACTTCTG